GAAGTGCCCCAGGGCAGGTGATTATGGTTACACTGCAGTACAAGGACTAGACTGGTCAAAGCTGCTGCTACACCTGCACAGCTCTGGGTGAGGCTGAGCCAGCTCAGACTGACCAACTGCAAGATGCACAGACACATGCCGAGTATCCTGCAAACACTAAACATGCTGTCTCCAGCAACAGGATAAACAGAACACTGTTTGACAGCCACAGATGTTCTTGATGTTTTACAATCCTCTGCTGTGAGGGCCATTATTGTAAGGTGCTATTTAATCCAGTAAATGTCATATTCTCCATCAGTAAACTGAAAGATACTTCTGGAAAATACTGAGGGTAGGATAATGGTGAGGAGATGTTCTACTGAATAAAAATGTCATACCTAGTTGGGAGAGATCCAGTTTTGTCCAGTGCATCCCTGTTGGGCAGCTGGGTGAGAGGGTTCTGATAAATATCTGCCCCAGACTATCCAAGCCCCAGATGGCATCCTGGCAGGCAGAGTAGTGCACCATTTCGGCCTCCGGTGGCAGCTGCACCGTAGAAGGATGAAACTGAGGATTCTGATCACTGACACAAAACAGATCCTTGTTGCTTTGGCACAGCCACAGAAAGCTTCCTATGGAAAGGACATTTCTGTTATTAAAATAGTTCCTAATCCATTCTGAGAGAGCTTATACCTCTACTCCTTCTGAAAGAAATGATCAGTACATTTGAAGGCAAAACTAAAGCTTCTCGGCTCTGTTCATAGGGTAAGACTTTGAAGTACAAATACACATCCTAAGCCCTTATTTAGGTGCTTAAATACTCCCTTTCTCCCCTTACTACCAGGGGAGTAGTAAGTGATCTCATTTCAGAAAGGTTTCATTTGAAAAAACAGGTAGAGACAAGACACCTGTAACAGTGCACTATCACCTCCCTTGAGTCTTTTGCTCTCCTCTATCCTTGATAATAGCCCTTGAAAAGCAGCATTCTTTTCCAGCTCTAAATCACACACATTTGCCAGCAAAGCCAGTGTAGTTGCATAATGCAGCTGCTAACTATTGTAACTGGCTAATCCCCCAGCGTGGTCTCACTTTCACTGGGAGCATGAGAAGCTTCTCTGCAGTAACTGCACTGACAGCAGAAACACTTGGTCAGTCCAGGCATCCCAGCAAAGCATGCTCCAATATTTCATGTTACACATTCTGGCAAATCATGCTCCAGCCATTTAGGAAGTTACAGCTCCTCAGGACTACCCATTTCTCTGCTGGATGCCACTGCACACCGAAGGAGACAGAAGGAATAACATGTGTTTGTGCCCTACTCCAAATATTTTAGACCCCTGCACATAGAAAAAGACACCTAAAACCTGAAGTCATTCAGGATATTTCATTACTTACACCACCAGTTCCACTCTATTTAAAAAACAGATCCTATATGGCTGCACTGTTGGTTCACTAACCTTCTTTGGATGAAGCTGTGGAAGCCAACACAAAAATCCACTTTGTGGCAGAAGCAGTGCCACGAGGCACAATGTGGTTCCAGTAAGTGCCTTGAAAGAAAGGACAGAGAGGTATTAGTATGAAACTTCATTTTCTATTAAAATCTGTTGTTTAAAATGTTACAGTTTAAAACAAACTCTATTGCAATCAATTATTCCATGTAATTTAGACAAGATTTTCTATGTAAATCTTTCAAGAAATTGTTGGGGGAAGGGGAAAACTTCCTCCCTACACATACATATATGTACACACCCACAGAGAAAATTAGGAATGCAGTGAAGGATAAAGGAGAGACCAATTTGATGATGAGGCTAAACAACATTCTAGGTCTACTGTTAGTGTTTACCTGATCAAAATGTACCAAATCAAAAGTCTATTGTGAGAAATATAGCAAGAAAAATAAATCAACACCTCCATTAGCTCTGTAAAACCAGAACATTACTGTTCTGCACAGTCACACTGATAATGAACCAAAATCCACTGTGCTACATAAAACAGCTACAACAGCCTAATATTGCCTTCTGATCCCAGAGAAGAGGCAAGTGTAGGTATTAAAAGGAGCAACTGGTGCACAGCTCACTTGTTGACAAGGCCTTTTCCATGAAAAATATCTCCCTTTAAATGAGAGAGTATTTAAGATCAACTGCTGGTGAATCATTTCATTTTTAAACACATTTATTAAAGCTGCCCTGACTTGCCACGCATCGTTTTGTGGTGAGAGAACTGCAGTGAGTTATTCTCTCCTGTTTAACTCTCTTTAAAATATGAGATGGAAAAACACACCAACCTACTAAGTTCCCCTTTGCTACATGGAATTCATTTTTGCCTGAAGAGATCCAGACTCCACTGCCATTAACTCCAAGGAGGCTTGGCTGACACTGAAGCTGCTGGGACCAAAATGCCATTCGAAGTTTGTCAGCCACTTTCTCCACAGGTGCCTGAGCTGCTGTTGCCACTGTGTGAGTTGCCTGGATTATTGTCTGGAACAGGCTGCACTGGTCAAACACTACATAATCAGTGATGCTTACCTGGAGGAGGAAAAAAAAAAGTGCTCTTGATAATTAGTTAAGCTTTTGGATGAGCTGCACAATCTTTCATCATAAGTCTTTTTTTTGGAGTGTGTGTTCTTTGTGTACAGGAAATCTACCAAGGGTTTGGAAACCTTCAAAGTGTAGAAGGAGGAAAAATAAAAATGGTACATTTTGAATAAGTGTCTTGAAAATAAACCACAACATCAGCTTACAACTCCCTTCCACCCAACAATCCAGTCCTTTGTTTCAGGATGTCACCTCTTCTCTCCTAAAAACACACTGAACTCTGCAAACTAAGGGGTGAATTTTCAATTTCCCAAAGGAAGAGAGAAATTTGTGTAGTGTAGCAAGTTAACCACAGTACAAAAACTTGTTTGTAATACTCCTTTACAACCACCTCCTGGGCCTTTTAATTCCTAGTGCAGGAGGAGGTCTAAAAAAGCAATTGCCCCAGTTCTGTCATAGACAACTAGGTTGGCAACACTCTGGGATACTCCTAGAAAGGAAGGGAATGTTTCAGAGCACAAAAAGAGCAGCAGTTTGCCAATAACCTCAAAACGAAGGGATTCACGAAAGCCACATGCAAGAAGAGATTATATATGCACAAAACCCAAAATTCTTTTAACTTAGGTAGGCACATAGACAAACAAATTTTCTGTGTAACTGTTTTTGTCCCCCCTTCTTCCCCACCTCTGGGGAAAACAAGAAAAGCTGGAGAAAACAGTCAGGAATTTTAAATCACTACCAGACAGTACTTGCAACAACTGAGTTGGTTTTACCCCCATGAACTGTAGCTGAAGCAAACAGCTCCAAAGGGTTCAGAGAAATCTCAGCTGAATGCAAAACTGTTTAACAACATTTTTGCACAGCTACTCGTCATTTGTTTTACCAGGCTAAGGAAAAGGATGGGCAGACAAAAGGAGGCTGCATTCAGCAGCCAGACTGATGCTCAGGTCCTGTTGCCACTCTTAAGCTGCCAAGCTACATGTACCATTGATAGGACCTGGCAGAGATTTCTTGTGTCCTTGAAAACTGTTGTGATGCTGCTCTGGATGACCATGGGATGTTTTTCCCCCTGCTCTTTAAAGCAGAGACAAAAAGGGATTTCAGCCACAGCCACACTGCAGGATTAATATGCTGAATAAAAAGTGATATATCAAGCAATTAAGTGAATTTTGTCTTAGAATCTTGTGGGAAAACAACACAGATAATAAACCCAAGGTAAAAGACTAAACTGAAAGCAAAATAAAAAATGCCTACTTGCCACCAATGGTTATCATCTCCTTGTGGTTTCTTTGAAACTATACCAGTCCTGAACCAGAGATTTCCATGGATGTCCAAAGCCCATAGTGTCTGCTGATCTCCAAGGGTTATGCACACTGGTTCCAGAGCCTGCATCTCACTGGGAATGCAAACAAGGAAAACACTTCAAATCTATGTTCATGGTGCTTAAAGGAAGCTGTTACAGAGCTAACAGCAGTTTTAAATGGTTGAACTCAGTGGGGCCAAGCTAAAAAACACATTTGGTATCAAATTCTCACAGTTATTCAGTAACTGATATATACAAAATTCATTTTATATTAGTTTGTATGAGTAAAAAATATTCAGCAACAAAAAAATGAGCCCTGCAAACATTTCCTTCACTCAAGATTAGAAACTTAGATACATCACCAAAGTAAAAAACTAAACCAAATCTATTTTTCTCAGTAAATGAGCAATCAGGAGCTCTGTTCTTTCAGTTTGGGATAGAGCAGCTCCATAAATGTATCTTCTCCAACTTCCTTGACCTATTCTGAGCACAGAACTAGCAGTTCAGGGACCATGAATAGAAAACTCAACCGAACCATATCACAAAGATAAATGTTGAACTTAGGCCTATAAGTTTCCTGCATAAGCAAACAATTTTGAAGCTCAGGAAGTCACAGGCTCAGGTGATTTTATCAGACATTGAAAAGGCAGCAAACAATGCTAGTTCTCCAGATAACCTTTCCCAACAACTGAAGAACAAACAGTGTCTCCTCTCTGCAATTTTAACACAAAGCCCAAGAACATGAACTGTACCTAAGCTGTAGGTCAAGGTATTTTTGTTAAATAAACTAATTAAAGTGCATAGAAATTTCAGATTTGAACAAGATACCAAGTGGTTCCTGAGACTTTGCAAGGGACAAACACCAGGCTGGGAGGCAACACAAGTTAAAGTTTCACAATAGGATATTTAGTAGATAAAATCATCTGACAACAAGAACTGGAATTTCTCCCTACACTTGCTTCAGGCTGCTGTCTCAAGAGAGCCTATACTCCAGTTCCCCAAAGCCAGCAGTGGATACTCAGTGCTTTGAATCTTATCACAGACTAACTACTGTGAGCACAGGATGAACTGCAAAGCTAAATATCAGCTACACAAAATACTGACAAACAACTGTGACTAGGAAGTGGAAAAGTGTTATCCAGCTGTGTGGATGACCAAGAAAATGCTGAGACTTCATGGCAGAAAAAGAATGAAATAACTGGAGAGCTCATTAAAGCCCTTATGGCACAGATTAAAGAGGCAGTACTTAATAAAAAGAAGTAATATTGACAGATATTCTAAAGATTCAAAAATTTGGTCTCACTCTCTTAAACTCAATTTAACTGTGTTACCATTTTGGGTTATGGCATTTTCATTCATTATATAGCAGTTGTTCATCTGAAAGAGTAACACCTGTTACTCTAAAAATGTCTGGAGAAAGACTAAGGAGCAGAGATAGAGAAAGAAAGAGAGGGCGGGAAAGAGAGGGAGGGTTGGAAAGA